CATAATATCCTGCAAAAATTTAATTCTATAGAACCCAAGAAATCCTCTTTTCAAAGCTGTGTACTGAACGAAACTGTATACATGCCCTTGAATCCTCCTTTCAAAGTAATCAATCTCTCAAACTATATTTAAAAATGGAAAGAAGATGTCATATTCTACCATAAAACTGCCTTTTTGGCTAAAAGAGGAACTATACAATCTATAGCTAGAGGCCTAAAGTTGATAAAATTTGACAGGTAGAGAGTCTTTATTTTTCTTTCCTTCTCTCAACAAAGCAAAAATGCCTAAGACACTGATAACTTAGTCCTAATAACAGTTTATGATCAAAACCTCAGAAGAGAATGGGAGTTCTTTAAGAGAAAATGTTCATTAAGTGTTTTTTAAAATCAAAGATCACTGCTACATAAACAGTTTAACTAAAACAAGCACTGAATGTCTTCATGGATTCTACCAAGCACTTTATAACTTACATTAACTATGAAAATTTACACAAGGCTTTTCACGTGATTCCACTCTGGACACAGAACTCACTGAGCTATATTAATGTCCTAAAACACGCCTTTCACCACATAAGCTCTGAATAGGCTTAAAACAAGCACAACCTGTGGGTAACACTACAGAATTTGGAGCCAGTTTTCATTGTTTCCACCAAGTTCAGTTTGCCATAGAGAAACAAATCAAAGTTCCAATAAGCACACTGCACCTGCAAGACTTAGTTATGCTCCAAGTCAAATATTTACAATTTTTATCCCAAATCTGTACAAACGAAAGTATGCAGATCACAGCACCAGACCTCTAAATCTTGTAAGCCAAAATGGTCTGTAGTTTCATTCATACATCACCCAAGTCATACTATTGTCCTTAATATGTACAAGTACCAAAAACTGTGTTAGTAGCTTGCACAGATATATTATCTCTAATCCTTATAACAAATCCCACTCTGTTGATGAGGAAACTGAGACCAGAGAGGTCAAGGTGACTTGCCCAATGCCATAAAATCAGCAAATGGTAGAGCTAATTCAAACCTAGTTCTGCCTAACTCCAAAGAACAGTCTCCCTGATCCTCCCCCAGCTAAAGTCACTCTGCAAAACCCGTGCACCTCTATCAAAGTAAATTCAACTGCTAAGTCTCTGAAATGATGATAATGGTTGGAAGGGGGAAAAAAAAAATCACACCTAAAACTATAGTACCCTCAAGTTTCCAGTGAGTAAATACAATCCCCCTCCCTTAGAATAACTAATTCCAAAGGCTAGTGTTCAAAATATAAGAGAATCCACCAGCAGGGGTGGGGATGTTAACTGTCTCTCAAATAGACTCTTCAGAGCAAGGGAAATGAAACTCAAGCGTACATTCACATTTTTTTTTTTTATGAGATTATCTAAAACCCTTGAGAAAAGGGTGATTTAAAAAAAGTTTACTTTCACAGCTTACTTCTTTGCTAGGCTTCAGACATTCAAAAAAAAAAAAAAACAAAAAAACAAAATCACACCAGCAGCATTACTAATCAAATTTTTTCTACAGACTTGAAAAAGTTTTTCTTACCACACTACAAGATTACTTCCCATACTTAGAGCAGAAATGGAAACAGCTCTGGGTGCCACGAATCAGATCTTGAAGCCACAGTTGCAGAAAAAAGTAGGCGCTGTTTCCCTTGAGTAGGAGCTGCTGATCTGAAACCTCCTAAGGGAAGGGTGTCTGAAGAAGTGTGTGGAAGAAACTACAGCAAGCTGTTAGTATTAATGAGAGTGAGCTTCTGGCACTACTACTCCTTAAGTGTTTCACTGCTACGCAATTGTTTTCCGGCTTCCAAGCTCTGAATCTGGCAGCCAGAAGCTGCTCTCACAGCATAGGTGTTACATGATCAGCTGCTCTGTGGTGTGTGGGTGTTTAACTAGGTAAGTGACTGCTTAGAAGAGGTTCTGCAATATTACATCAAGGAAGGACACGGTCCCCTGAGATTTTAATGATCTGTCAGTATACTAAGCTGACAAAGAAAAGTAACATATTTGCCACTTTGAAATGATTTGGGTTTAAGATAGGCAAGTAATTTCCAATAGTAAAACTTCAGGCATGACAGGAACAAAAATATATAACCTGTAATATAAGCCACTTCAAGCACATTTATTAGATAATAAAAAAATGTAATATTCGCAATCTCAGCATGCTTTCAAACTTCATAGAGCATAATGCATAATTATTAGAATAAATGCTATTCTTCAGGTGTGTGCAAGATTCCAAGTCTCCCATGCCTTCCAAAAAGCTGTAATACCAATAATTCCTTAGCCTTTCAGAACCTCCTTTCCCCCCAATGAAAACAATATGAAGGGCTCAAAGAACTCTGTCAGTGAAAAATACTGTCAGAATTATAAGCTCCTGGGCAGCTGGAGACTGTTTATTTAATGTCACTGCCCATCACAACACTATCACAAGCTGAAATAAATGTCTCTTGATTCAAAATAATCAAAAGGCAAAAGTTGGGTGCACAGTGATTAAAACAGGAATAGCTGATATTTATTCCCTGCTTATTGATAGAATGATACAACTTTCATCTCTAATTCTAGATTCTAAATATGCAGACTGAATTCCCTAACTACAATGAAAACCTTTAAAACAAAATTTTTTAAATAGATGATTCTGATGGCACCCTTAATAAAGACATATTTAATAGAGTTGAAAGAACCTTTATGGGACAAAATACTCTACTATGGGAATGATAAAATCTTAAGGGACCAGTTCAACCTCAACCAACACAGCAAGATTCCAGCTAGGCATCATAAGACAGTTGACTGATTTTGCTGTTGAAATTTGCTACATATAGAACACAGTGCTAGAACATACATTATCAATCAGCTATTTTTAAACAAATTGTTTTGACTCCAGTTTTAACTTTTTCTGGAACTCTTACATCTCCTTTTTACAGTAAGACAGAGAAATGATAGCATACAAATACCTAACTCATTGTAATCAAAGAATGAAACATGAAGCTACATCCAACAACTTTGCTGTTTATTGCCCAGGACCAACACCATGCCAATCCTGTAAGAAACAAACCAAAGCCAAGTCACAAAACTCAATTTCCTTTCACGTTTGTATAAAACAGATCTCAACCTAAGGTCCCAGGACCAGGTTCAAGATGACTATAGTTGCATATAAAATTATGTGGCTATTTTACTAAAAGTCCTAAGGGCTTCCACTATCTTAAAGATTAAAAACCAACAGACATTTCCAGGATCACTAAAATTGTTTTAATTTTTTTTTTATAGAGGCATGTTATTTATTTGTTTGTTTGTTTTGTTTATACATGCACTGGGTACAGTCAGAAGCGCGGGAGGGTGAGAGAATTCACCAGAGCCAGAGCGGGGAGCAGAGCAGGCAGAAGGACCTAAGTACACTGCTGAGGGGAGCAGCGGGCGGCAGGAGAGGTCTGCGCGCCATGTGGGACTCTCCTCCGGTGGCCGGGGAGCAGCCGGGGATCGAACTGGCGCTGCAGAGGCCGGGCAGCTTCGCAACCCAGCGCTCAACCGCTGCGCCACCGGGGAGGCCCTTAATTTTGTTTTTAAACAAAATTATACTGCAGGTAATTTCTCTATAAGTTCGTGCAGTCCTAACACAACCAACCAAGCTGCCTGCCAGCACTGAGGCTCACAGCGGAGTTTACCACTCTCAAATCAGCCCCCAGGCAGGAACATCACCTGCATTCAACACACATGCTCACAACACATCCCAGCCAGGGCAGATCTTCCTCTCTAAGCACATACACATGTTGTCAACAAAGCATGTGCTAGTGCCATTCCCAGAACAATACGGGGCTTGGCCCTCTCTAGAAAAAAAAAAAAAGGACATTCTCAAAATACTACCCTATTTATTGTGCCTTGATCACAGTTGTTAAACATTACAACAAAATTAATGAAATTCCCACACACTATATGTATCTAATTAACTGGGAGGAAAAGCATCATTCAGCTATTACTGAGGGACCACGGGAGAGGCAAATAAGAGAAATACTATGATAATGCTTGAAAAACAGGGACAATCAAAGACAGACTGACACAGAACATCCCGAGAAACTGGCTGCGGAAAGGACGCTTTTCCAAAGGCAAAAAGCACATTCCTTTGATTGGTACAAGCCGTTTATGACAATGGATCCGCAATGACAGGGACTGCTCAGCAATCAGGAAGTGTGTGTGTATGCGCGTGTATGCGTGTGTGTGTGTGCGCGCGCGCGCGTGTGTGTGGTGGGGGAGGGATGTACTAGATATGATCAAAGACTGGCCCTCTTCAAAGACGACCATATGGAATCTTCAATCGTGAAGAGTGACTTCGAGGACGAGGCAGGGGCATCTCTCCTGTCTACAGGAGACCTCCTCCCCCGACAATGAACATGTGTGCAGACCTAACGGGGGTGTCACTACCTTTCGAGTCTTCCATCTAAGAATCTTAAGTTAGAGTCTGATTGGAGGGGAGGAGGAGATGGGGGTGGAGAAAGGTCTGCACTACCCTCTGGGGTGAATTCTGGGCGGGTGTGCACTAGATGCATTTTCTCTCGGGCGGCACAATACTCGCGGGGGTTGGAGGTTTGGGCGCAACCGCAGGGCGGGGGAGGCCGTGGGTGCAAGTCACCAGCTGCAGGGCACGCGAATGCTCGCGGGCGGACCGGTGCAAACCTCCCCTCCGGCCGCTCCCCCGAGCGAGCCCAGCCTCTCCCTCCTCAGGCCTCAGGGCGAGAGACTCTGCAAAACAGGAGTCCACCCCGGGTCCGGGGGGCGGGGGGGCCGCGGCCGCGGCGGGTGTCCCCGGCTCGAGCGTGGGGCCACACGAGCGCGGCGCCGCGGGCCTCCCCGCCGGCCGGGGGCGGCTCCGGCCTAGTGCCCGCGGCGGCCGCGGCCGCGGGTCGAGCCGGCGCCGGAGCCCCGGCCCGCCGGCGGCGGCAGGGAGGAAGGCTCCTCCGGGGGCGCCGCCGCGTCCGCGGCGTGTGCGTGGGGGGCAGGGCCCTACTCACCCGGGCCGGCCGCCTCCGCCTCCGCCGCCCCGACCGCCGCCTCGGCGGTCCATCCTTGCGGCGGGGGGCCTGCAGCCGCGGCGCTCGAGTAACAACCGCCGGCCGGGCCGGCCCCTCCCCCGCCCAACGTCTGTCCTCAGCGCCGCTCCGCAAACCCGGCCTGGCCGCCGCCGCCGCCGCAGCGCTACGTGGCCGCCGCGCCGACGTCTCGCGACTCCCTTCCGAGCGCGCGAGGGCGAGCGGGGCCGGCGGGGCGGGCGGCGCGCGGGGAGGGGGGCAGGGGAGGGGGTGTGCGTGTGTGGATGTGTGTGCGGAGAGGGGGCAGGGAGGGAGGGCGAGCGGCGGCGAGAGCGCGCGCGCGCCCGCGGCCCCTTTCCCTCGCCGGCCCCCCCGCCCAACAGGGATCCCGACGCCTCCCTCCGCCCGCCCCCTGGCATCCCGGCCGCGGGGCGCGGCGGCGCGCATGCGCAGCCCTCGGGGCTGGCCCGGGCGCACCTTTTCTCCCTCCTGCCTCACAGCGCGCGCCCCGCCGCGCAGATAACCGCCGACTCCCGCTCCACCCCGCCCCCCGCCCACTCCGCCCACTCCGCCCACTCCCGAGCGCCCAGGTAAAGGCGTGGACTGCGCGTGCGCAACACCCTTCCTGGGTCTGGGGGCGTGGCTGCTGAAAGGAAGCCAAGGCGCGGGGTGGGAGGGAGATGTGGGGTTCCACAAATTCAGGGGCGGTTAGGGTTCGGGCAAGGTAAAGAGAAGCCGGGGGTGGGGGGGGGCCTAAAGTAGCAAAGTGGGCCCGGATGAGATCCACAAGTTAAATAACCTTTGGTTTATTCAATAAAGTAAAAAAAAAAAAATGATAAATAAACGACGCTGGCCTCCGTGAGTGGCCTGAGTGAAGGACAGAAATAAAGGCAATAAAGGCGGCAGAATACAAGGAGCAGCGCTCGGTTGCCAGATGAATGGGGCCGCTAATAAAAACGGGAGAAATGTAGCTATTGCCAGAGTTGTCAGAAAAAATATTTAGACATGCACTTGCTCAGCAGCCAGGAATAGGTTAGGGGATGTGCGTGTGGCCTAAGACACAGCTGCTGCAGGAAAGGAAACCTCCATTGTAGTGTTATTACAGCATTATGACTAATTAGTATTAATCATTAATATAATTAATGGTACTCTTAACTAACAAGGTAGCATTTATCCAAGTTCAGAGCCAAAAGAGGATGTTGGTGATTGAAAGGGCTTGGAGTAGAGTGGAGTGGGTGAAGTGGGCCCAGGGTGAAGACCCAAGGCAGCAACACGTGGGTGGGGATGGCTTTTCCCTTCACAAACCAAACATCCCTGATGTCTGAATTCTGTCTTGTAACTGGAGCACCTTATCTTCCTCCCATTATTTAAAGCACATTTAACAAATGTTCTTGCTCTAAACATTTTCAGTATAGCTGCAGCTACTTCCCCCAAAATACCACCCCCCAAAACAAGTTTCCTATAGGGAGTTAAATAACCTTTGTTTGGGACAAAGGTAGGGAAGGGACTGAAAATTTACAAATAAAGGTGTTCAAGGGCTAACTCTGTCTGTGGCCCCTCTCTAAAACAAATGCTTGGATTTTATTACACTTGAACTCCAGACTCCAGGGGTTGTAATTTGGCAAGTTTGGGCCATGCTCTTCATAGCGTGTTCAGTGTATAAACACTAAAAATGATATCATATTTCAGCAGGTAGATAGCAAATCTTCAGGAGGAACAGGAGGAAATAAGCGTTAGTTATAAAAGGAAAGATTTAGATTCCATGTGGGAAAGATCTTGACATCCCTAGGGCCTGGCGAGCCCAGAACATCCAACTGAGATGTACTTGCTGCCTTGAACACTCAGTCAATTCCCTGCCTTCTGCCTATTAGGGCTGCCCTGCTTGGAAAAGGGGTATGCAGAGTGGTAGTGAAAGAAATGAGATGACCTTCCAATCTCTTTGACTCTCTACCCACAGGGCAACCCTCAGAAGGGTTCCTACTAATTAGAAGGATAATATTATTACCTTCCATTTGAGGAGTGCTCTATGGTTTTTGCAGGGAGGTTAGGTCCATTATCTCACCACATCCTCCAACAATCCTGTGAGGCAGGCAGAACGGGTATTATTCCCAATGAAGGAAATTCAGGCCAAGGAATATTTCATTACTCAGCTAAAGTCACCCAGCCCAGTAAACAAAAGAGCCTGAACAGGACCAGGCTTCCTGACTTCCAATGTACTGATCTCTCAGTGTTTGACAGGCCCTCTCTGACATACTGCTCCATCTTCCCCTGGGGTAAAACAGGCAGCCTTGGCATGTGATGGAGAATCATTCTAACATTTCCTTCTATGTCTACATTACCTTTCTTTCATTTTTCTTCTTTTTTCTCCAAGACTCTGGGACTTGACCCTGTGTTTCTGAAGCCTTGGCCACTGATACTTTGGAACGCCTTGGGCCTCAGGGCTAGCTAGCCGATCCCAGTTCCTCTGTTCTCCCTTAACTCTTCCCCTTAAGATAACCTACCAGAAGGGGACTAAGGGACTGCCAACCAATGTTATTATTTGATGTGTCACAACAAGAGGGCATTTGCTCTCAGGCTGCTAGTTCCAGTGCTTTCCCTCTTCAGCTGCTGCCCTGCAGCTTGGACGTCTTCACAGCACCCATACCAGGCCTTATTGGAAGATCAGGCAGGTGTTAGCCTAGCTTCTTAACCTTGGATAGCTCTTGACTAATGCTTTCATTAAGACCAGGGGCAGAAACCAGCAGAACCCTTTTCTTTTTAATTAAAAGATTTTAGTATAAATCTGCAGGAGATTTGTGCATTTATCTAATAACTGGTTTTATTAAAATAAATATTGCAGCAATTATAAAAAAAAGATTTTAGTATAAAGTTTCATGCACTTGGATAGTTCTAAAATCCTTCAAATATTTAATCTAAACAACAGCAGAGGATCCTCCCTGATGGTGCAAGGGGTTAAGTCTCAGCACTATGAAGCTATCACCAGCATGAGTTCGATCCCCTGCCAGGGAGCTGACCCACGTGGCCCAGCAGACCTCTTCTGTCTCATCTGGTGTTCCCCTCAGTAGTGTATTTCAGTCAATCTGCCTGTTCTGTTCCCCACTCTGTCTCTGGTGAATCCTCTCACCCCTCCCCTACACCTCTGGCCTACACCTCAGTTCCTGTATGCATAAATAAAAATAAGTCTTAAAAAAAAAATTAAGGGCCTCCCTGGTGGCACAGCGGTTGAGCGCTGGGTTGCGAAGCTGCCTGCAGCCTCCGTGGCGCAGGTTCGATCCCCGGCTGCTCCCCGGCCACCTGAGGAGGGTCCCACATGGCGCGCAAACCTCTCCTGCCGCCTGCTGCTCCCCTCAGCAGTGTACTTCAGTCCTGCCTGCTCTGTTCCCCGCTCTGGCTCTGGTGAATTCTCTCACCCTCCCGCGCTTCTGACTGTACCCAGTGCATGTATAAACAAAACAAACAAACAAACAAATAAAAACATGCCTCTATAAAAAAAAAGAATGCTTTTTTAAAAAAAAAAAGTTAAAAAAATAAACAATAGCAGAGATCTGATTCCTGTTAGATGGCATGCTACAAGTTCCCTGGTCACTGTGTTTCCTGCCTTCCCAGATTTCCATGAATGTACCTAATTCAACAGTTCTCACCACCTTGGCTTTTATAAGGGCAGTGGTTGTGGCCTCTGCTCACCCATGAACTGTTACCCCATGAATGTTACCCAATCCTACTGCACCCAACTTGGAGCCATGGCCCTTGTCGTAGTCTCCTAGGTCCTCATACTTGTACCTTGACCTTGGCTAAATCACTACACCTTTCAACTTTGTAAAAAGAGGGGGTTATATGATGCTTAAAGCCTTCCAGTTCTCATACCTAGGATTCCAGAAAGTTGACTGTGATCATCCATCCCTTGTAATTCCATTCCTTTCATAAGAATTTCTATCCAGGGCTTCCCCGGTGGCACAGCGGTTGAGCGCGGGGTTGCGAAGCTGCCTGCAGCCTCTGCAGTGCCGGTTCGATCCCCGGCTGCTCCCCGGCCACCACAGGAGGGTCCCACATGGCTCGCAGACCTCTCCTGCCACCCGCTGCTCCCCTCAGCAGTGTACTTCAGCCCTTCTGCCTGTTCTGCATCCTGCTCTGACTCTGGTGAATTCTCTCACCCTCCCGCGCTTCTGACTGTACCCAGTGCATGTATGAATAAATAAATAAATCTTAAAAAAAAAAAAAAAATTTGAAAAAAAAAAAGTGTATCTTTAAAAAAAAAAAAAAAGAATTTCTATCCAGATCTCTACAGGAAACTGCCCCTTTGACAGAAGGATAAAGCTATCTGGACTTGCCTTTCCATTCAATTTTTTCTCCTATGTCTAAGTGACAGTATTTAGACAGCTCAGGAAACTGGGCTTTTGGCTTTTCTGCCATAGGACTTGCATGGGTGCCTGTACTTGTGCACGTGTATGTATGTATCTGTCTAGTCTTTTTTTTTTTTATTTTTATTTATTTATTTATTTATTTTAATTTTTTTTTAAAGATTTATTTATTTATTTATACAAGCACTGGGTACAGTCAGAAGCACAGGAGAGTGAGAGAATTCACCAGAGCCAGAGAGGGGAGCAGAACAGGCAGACTGACGAAATATACTGCTGAGGGGAGCAGCGGGCGGCAGGAGAGGTCTGCGGGCCATGTGGGACCCTCGCCTGGTGGCTGGAGATCAAACTGGCGCTACAGAGGCTGTGGGCAGCTTCGCAATCCAGCGCTCAACCGTTGCACCACCGGGGAGGCCCTAGTCTCTTTTTTTTTTTTTTTTTTTTAAAGATTTGTTTATTGGGCTTCCCCTGGTGGCGCAGTGGTTGAAGCTGGGTTGCGAGGCTGCCCACAGCCTCTGCAGCACCAGTTCGATCCCCGACCACCAGCGAGGGTCCAACAAAAAAAAAAAAAAAAAAAGATTTGTTTATTTATACAAGTGCGGGAGGGTGAGAGGATTCACCAGAGACAGAGCGGGGAATAGAACAGGCAGACTGACGAAATACACTGCTGAAGGGAGAAGCGGGCAAGACAGGAGAGGTCTGCTCTGCCATGTGGGCATCTTCGTGGCCAATGGCAGCCGGCGGGGATCGAACCGGCGCTGCAGAGGCTGCGGACAGATTCACAGCGCTGCCCTCAACCACCTGTGCCACCAGGGAG